CCTGTTGTATCGGAGCTGCTCGYTGGTTACGCAGCTGTGTTTCTGTCTCACCAAGTCGCTTTTCAAGCTCAGTCCTCGCGTCCTTTTCTTCTTTGAGTATCTCCTGTGAAGTGACATTTCATCGAAATTAAGATTTGTATTTTCAGGCTAAGGAAAAAACACAGTTTTGAAGTGTTTAAACTTCTTTTATCGAGCAGGGAATACTGCCCTCATGCAAAAAATGATGGGAATTGTATTTTCTGAATTACAGGATTTGAAAATTGAAAATACAAATGAATTGACGTCTACCAAGGAATGATTTCATTTTAAGCAAAATAAAAATAGGAGGCATTGCTTCTTATGTTACATAAGACAGTTCTTACACATCAACCAATATAATGACGAGATTCTGGTTTGACGTCACTTCATTTGCATCTCCAATTTTCAAATACCTTATTTAGAAAATACAATTTAATCACTTTTTTCACAGAAGCGCCCCTTTGATTTAAAATGGCTCCATGGAGTGGAAGTGGATGGCTGCACTTTAAAAAGTGGAGGGGATTTATAATATTACGTATTTGCGCAGCCAGTGAATCAAAAGGGCCTTTGCTATATAAAGGAAATACGTCTATTAAAAATAAATCGCAATTGAAGAATATTRTTGCAGTGTTCTTTTACCAATAGTTTGTCGAATTCAGCACACTTGGCATCATACAGACGACAAGTCTCTTCCAACCTAAAGAATAGTAGTACATTAGCTGATGGATATAATAGAACCTTTTCCAATTGCACAAGTTCTTTTCGACCTTAGAGTGGCCTATCAGTCCACTTTCGATATTCTGGTTAAATTGCCATGGACAAAGGAACTCATTGAACAACGTGCTGGAGCCTCGTCTTTACGTATTTTGGGCGTGGTTGATTTCGAGAAAAAAGGTGTTTAGTCTACTTTTTAGCAGTCTAATTATCTATAAAGGCCTTATTATATGGAGCCGACTGGCCAAGTTGACTTGATTTCTTTTGCTTTGTGTCCCCTAGGCAGAGGTAAATAAACCGAACGAAAGCACATTGGACCGGGTCAGACCGCTTCATATAGTCAGCCCTAAATGAACATGATTAATGGAGGTATGACCCATATTAGGAAGGATTTTGATGACAAAATAGGATAACATTCATTATCTATAGTACTCGAAAACATGAAGATCGCAGAGGTGAAATCAATGTTAACAGGCTGTGCGTAACTTCTAAACACAATACCTTTCGTTCAGTGGATCACTTATCACAGGAGACTCCAGATTGTGATCTATCACCACAGCTACTTCTTCCTCGGCTGTTCCTTCCTGAACAATAAAACCAGAGCAAAATAAAATCAAAATAGTCTGGTTATTCTGACTAAACATCAGCYAGTCWTGTACCAATATTGTCACCTACAAATAGTTGCTATTAACAACCAATTAATGGATACAGTGCGGAGTACTAAATTACCTTAGCTATCTGCTGTTGATTCCCATCCACCACATTCTCTCTTTCTACGGCTTCTTTAAGAAGGTTCCTACTATGCTCAAGATCGTATTCAAGTACATTTTTTTGTATTTCCACTTCATTAATGCGCGAGGAAAGAGACGCGAAAAGTTCCTCGTCATTTTGACGCCTTTCCAGAAGTTTCGAGTTCTCCATTTGAAGATTTCTTATTGTATTTTCGTGCTCTKTAATTAATGCTGCTTCCGGGATTTGAGTTGATCCTGACTGACCTTCGTAGRACTTCAGTTTAGCCAATACTTGATCTCTTTCGTTTCGGAGTTGATCCAGGTCAGACCTCCATCCCTTTCCAATATGTTCAAAATTCTTCTTCAGTTGAAAAATTGCTGACTCTTTTTCTCTGAGTGACTGCTTCAGCATGTGGTTATTTTCTTCCATTGTGTCGACTTGTCTAGAAAGCTCGACATTTTCTTCTAGAGCTTTGTGCAAATCTTCTCGAAGATTCTCGCTAACTTTTTGAAACTTTGTCTGCAGTTGGTCCTTTTCTTTTCTGGTCTTGTAGTATTCTTTGGTRATTCTATTCATTTCAGTCTTCATTTCGTGTAGTGTGTTTGCAAAGCCCTCGTGACGATCTGCCTCGCTCTTCAGGGGCGTTGACACCGCGCGCTTTCCTTGGGATCTCAACAAGGTGGCCATATTTTCTTTCTCTTTGAAAACGCTTTCAACTTCAAGYCTTAAAAGCTGAATCGTCTTTTCTCGGTCAAGACTCTGTGCTTTTGTGTTTTCAAGTTCAAACTTTAATGTCGAGCTTATTCGTTCATAGTCCTTTTTAAGCTTTGTGCGGTTAATTTCCCTATCTTTAACAGCATTCCCGAGTTCTYGGAGAAGATTAGCGTTGTTACGAGAAAGTTCATCAAACTTTTCTTGTAAGTCAGAAAAAGCTTTAGCTCCATTCGAATTTGTGTCASCGTTTTTCAACATCTCCAATTCTTGATTTAATTGACGGAGGTTCTCATCTTTTTCATTTAAAGTTTTCGTTAMCTGATCTCGTTCATTTATCGCTGTCGAAAGTTTTCCTCTGATGTCAACATTAGCTTTCACGATAAGTTCTTTCTCTTCAATTAAATGTTGCACCTTTGAATCGAGTTGTAGTATGTTTGAAGACAACTCATCCTTWACAGCCCGTAAATTGCTGTTTTCCTCTTCGAGTTGTGATATTGCAGAATCGTTTTGCTCYTTATGYTGAGCTTCATCTGAATCGTCTCTTTCRGTATGAAACGCTTYATCGYTGTCTTTAGACAAAGKTTCTACCTGTTGACGAARGTCTTGAAGTCTTTGTTCCACAACTWCCTTTTCTTCAATGACGCAGTTTTTCTCGTCCAATASAATATTGTATGATTYCARCAAGTCTTCTTTTTCTTTTTCGCACTGGTGTAGTTTGCTTTTCAACTCCGAGAGTATCTGTTTATCTTCAGAAATCTTTTCTTTGAGTTGCAAAATAGTTTCATTCTGATCAAATTTAAAAGAATCTTCATTCGAAATACCGGTGACATCCTTGGATTTGMGCTGATGTACAATCGCTTCGATATCCTTTCTAAGTGAGGCAGTAATTTCCTCTAAATCCATGTTTCTTTGCCCTAATCTTGAATTCTCTGCATCGACATGTTTAGCATGCTCAGTCACCGTATTTAAACGTTCTTGAAGCTTTTCATTGTGGTCCTTTAATTGTTTTGCAATTTTGTCTAGATTCCTATATTTCTCATTTAATTCCACTTTAGCATTAACCGATTCCTCATGGTCGGCGTTTAACGATTTCAGTTCAGTTGCCTTGATATCCAGTTGCTCCTGTGCTGTTTGAAGCTGACTTCGACACAATTTCAACTCAGAATCTTTTTGAGACAAAAGCTCTTTGAATTCAAGCTGCAAGTTCTCGACCAGTTTCCCTTTGTCGTCTGTAAGGGCGCCYAGTTTTTCTCTAAAACTACTGATAATGTCTTCCTTATCTTTCACCAAGTCTGCCATTTCTGCTCTTAARTCTTTACAGCGTTGTTCCTTCTCAATGTTTTCATCGAAGAGCCTTTGCGATTCCCCTTTAAGAGCCTCGACATCGGATTTCAGATTTCTGACCATGTTCTTTAGTTTAGCATTGATTTTCACCTGTTGCTGTACTTTCTTTTCTAGCTCCTGTTTCTTTTCGCAAACCTGAACAAGCTCTTCYTCAACGTTGCTCTCTTCCAGGAACTGCTGTTTATCMGTGTTCACACCTTTCTCTTTCGTTGGCGAAAACAGCTTCTTTTCTTTGGGCGATGATAATAATATTTCTTTTTCTGGTAGGAATGGCAGCCTCTGGGGTTCTTCGCTGGAAAGGTTGAAAATATCCTGCATGTAATCAGGTCCAAAGTTTTCTTCTACTGGAGAGCTTACTGAAACTTGTTTTATCTCAAGAGGAAGAATAACCGGTACTGGTTTACCTCCAGTGGGAATTTGCTTCCTCAACCGATCACACTCTATTCTAAGTCGGTGCAGTGCAAGATCCTTTTCCTTTTTATCGTTRATGGMTTGGTTGATGTCCTCCCTTAAGCCCAGCAGTATATGACTCATCTCATCGTTTGATTTTTCACTCTTCTTCAATGATTCGCCAACATTTGCCAACTCTTCTTTGAGACATAAATTCTCTTCTTCTGTTGTTTTTAGATCACGTTCGAGCTGAGCCAAGTCTGTRCTAAAGTTTTCTCTAAGGTCTTCAAGCTTCAGTTTCAGTTCTTCATTGGCGGAGTTCAGTTCTTTTAGATCGTCTTGTAGACTCTTGACGATTTCGTTACTTTCTGGAACTCCTGAAGATAGTGAATGTGAATTTTGTGACGGTTCAGGTTTAAGGTTTTCGATCTCACTTTTTAGATTGTCTCTTTCTGCTTCCAAGTCAATGATGTATTCTTGTAGTTCCWTTTCCCTGCCATTTTCCATGTCAGAACAATCCACTGATGCATCTACCATAGCAGGTAATGATTGGATACCAGTTTCAGCTTCCAGTCTGCGAAGTTTGATTTTGAACTCGTAGGCCAGTTGATCGGCAGCGGCCTTGCCTTGAAGAGAATGGTCCAAGTCTTCACGAAGTCCTGACACAATATGATTAAAGTTGTTCTTTAAATTGTCGATATCTTCCCGCTCCTTAGTTARATTTTCAATCTCTGCCYTRAGTTCCTCTATTTTCTGGTAAGCTTCWRCAAGATCTAATCTMGTAGATTGTGAGATGTCGGCYTGTTCTTTAATAAGGTTTTCAAATTGATTGGTAACACCTTGGATTCTTTGTTCGTTTTGTGCATGAACACTTTCCAGTTTATCCTCGAGTAATTTGATCATTTCATTTTTCTCGATAACTACTGTGTCACTTTGTAAAGTGGCCAGCTCTTTGGACATCTCTGCCATAGTATTTTCCATTTCTTGCTTAACTTTGTTATTTTYATCAARCAGATTTTCGGTCTTTTCTTTCTCAACTACAGCTTGTTGTAGTTTAATCCTCAGGTCGCTTACAATCTTTTCTTTTTCACGAACAATCTGATCAAGTTCTTCCCGTAGTTCCTTGCAAACATTTTCACCACGAATTCTTTCCTCTCGTGTTTTCTCTAACTCTTCTTTTAATGCATTCAATTCTTCRCCTTCTTCGTTTTCACTTTTTCCGCGCTTCTTGAGGATTTGCTTAAGTTTTCGCTTAAGCTTCTCATTGATTTCTTTGRCATTTTGTAATTCTGACTCTGTGTTTTGTAGCTCATTTCTATGTTGACTAACTTCTTCTGACTGGGCATGAAGGATGCTGGCCTCCTCAAGARCTGATTGCGTCTGCATTGACGTTTCTGGAACAATTTGATTTGCTTGGACTATCACCTGTTTGTTTTCTTTGCGTAAAAGCTCAATTTCTTCCTCTCGATCGTTTATTTCTTTTTTTAGTTGCTCATTTTTATTCTCCAATTTAGAGTTCTCTGATTTCAGCTGTTCCGTGATATTTTCTAATTGGGTCAAACTTTCTTTGGATTTTCTTAGTTCCTCTGAATTATAATCCTCATTTCTATTCCTTTCATTCAGTATCTTAATCTCCTTTGCCAATGATTCTTTTTCTTTGCTTATCACATCTATCAGATCAGTCAGTTCCTCGATTTTCTTGGCCTSGAGCGATAACAATTCATTCCGWTTACTATTACCTTCAATTATTTCATTCAGTCGGCTAACTTCATTACTGAATTGCTGCTGTTTTATCTCTTGTTGTTCTTTTTCCATATTTAACTGTTCCCTTAGCAGCCTGATGTCTTCTTCTCTATCTGAAATAGAGAGTTCTAGGCTAGCAGCTTCTTCTTTTAGATTGTTCAATTTATCAACAAGTTCCTTGACCTCTGCACTTTTTTCAGCGTCAATTTTCKCATTAGCTAATCTATGAGCCTCAACATTTGCCAAYATTTCTTTTTCAAAGCGCTGGGTTTCGGAATCGAGTCTATCTATAAAGATTTCTTTTTCTCTCCTCAACTCTTCGAAGCTGTTTTGTAATGAGTCATAAGCATCTAAAGATCTCCTAAGTTCTATTTCCATGTTTTCCTTGTCATTTTGTAACTCTTTAAGATTATCTGAAAGCTGTTGAATGTTAGATTGTGCATCACGGAGCAAGGTTTCCTTTTCCGCTCGGATAATCTCGAATTCTCTTTGTAAGCCTTCGGCCATTTCTTCCTTCCCTTTTTCTGCATCACTCAYTAATCTATTGAACATTTCGTCTTTTTCCGAGAGTACTCTTTCAACTGTCTGTTCCATTTCTTTTATTTTGTCTTCAAAGGCAATTTGAGTTTCACTGAAGCCTTGCTTTAGTTCTTTCTCCAGATGTTCTCGTTCTTCGCGACCATTGTTCACTTTATCCTTTAGGTTTCGCAAGATTTCATCCTTTTCATTGATTGTTTGGTCAAACCTGTCTTGCAATTGCTCGATCTCCTTCTTAAACCTCTTGCTTTCATTTTCCGCTTTCCTTTTCTCATTTCTCTCGTCATCTAACCTCTCTTTCAAACTTTCAAGAACATCTTCTTTTTCTTTGAAAGCCTTTTCAAAATCATCTCTTAATTGTTTACAAATTTGTGCTTTCTCGGCAAGGACTTTATTGTTCTCTTCCTCCATGTTTTCTTTCATCTTTTTACTGTTAGACAAGGCTTCTTGAAGTTTTTCTATTTCAAAGTTTGCTTCTTTCAGGGATGCTTTCAGTTCCTCGTTTAAGTTTTCAGTAGAGTCTTTTTCTCCGTGCAACGACTCAGCCCTTTGGCACAGGTTTTCTGTTGTTCTTAGCATTTCGTCCTTCCAGCTATTATCTCTTTCGTCTTTTTCCTGTATCACCTTTTGCAGGTCATCATATTTCTTTTCTGTGTTCAYAAGTTTTTGCTCTAATTCCAAACACATTGTATGCATTGTGCGMTGAATGTCTTCTTTTTCTTTTAGAGCATCCTGCAAATCTTCTCTTAGACCTTGACAGATGTGATCGAACTCATGTTTCACTTCCTTTTCTATCATTTTCCTATCGGTACTTATTTYATCCAGTTCTCTTTTCAATTGCGCACATTGATCACAGTCCTCTTTATTCGATGGGAGTTGAGCAGCAGTGTGATCACTTGTCTGCTGTTTCAGAGCAATTATCTGTGCGTTGAGTTCATCTTCAGTGGATTCTTTCTCTTCGCGCACAGCCTCGAGCTCTTCTTTCATAAATACCAAAGCATCTTCCTTTTCTTTCAACTTCTCATGGAATTCCTTATAGAGATTTCCGACAAGTTCTTCACCAACGGCAGAGTCCTTCTCAGCACGAATGGCCTCCATTTCTTCTTTTATAAATGAYAAGGCATCATCTTTWTCACGAATTATGGCTTCAAACTCTTTTTGAAGACTCTCACAAGCTTCTCTCTTTTCATTTGTGAGCTTTAGGATTTCCTGGTTCAATTTTTCTTTATCTTCTTTGCTTTGTCGAACGTGATTTTTAAGCTTGGATTTAATCTTGTCAAAATTCTTCTTCGCTTTTTCAAGCTCTGCCGAAAGAACATCTCTATCACCAGTTTCYTCGCCATCAGTCTACAAAATTAAAACATTGAAAATATGAATACCTACCAACYMAGTGAAAACTTTAATACGACATTAACAAATTTGCATTACTAATGTACCACCTAGATCAATAATGATAAATAGCGTACAGCACAGTATGTTTTTTGACATCAAAGTATTTCATTTAAAAACAAGGGCTGGGCGACTACTTTACTTACTCTCTCTACGTGAGAAATTTCAAGAAATGTTATAAGGTTAAAGCAAGTCATGACGCGACTTGCTAATGACCACTTTATAAGTCCCACAGAATTTGTTATTAATCACGTTTCCTTACCTTAGCAATATCACTGCCATCTTGAGATAACGTTCTTTCTAGRTGAGCTCTCTCTAACTGTGCTTCAAGTTCTGTACATTTTGCAGATATGTCCATGAAGCTTGATTCAACTTCTATCTTCTCATTTYTAAGGCGCTCCTCTAGATCATCTTTTTCTTTTAAAACCTTTTCAAGATCAAGCTTTAATTCTTCCTCAACTTGACTGACATCATCTTTAGCAGCTGCTAATGAWTTTTCTACTGTTTCTAAGCTACGTTTGAGTTCTTCATTTTCCGTCCTCAGTTTGTCAACACTGTTGTTCAACTCAAAGACATCTGACTGGGATGCTGCTGCAGTTTGAAGATCGACGGTCATACTGGTAATTGTGTCGTTGTGTTGTATTTCTAAACGCAAATTTTTTTCTCTAGCTTCAGAAAGCTGTTGCATAAGTTCTTGGATTTTCACCTCCTTGCTTTGTAGTTCTACGAGCTTTAATTTAAGATCGTTCTTAAGGGATTCTACGTTAGAATCCTCTGATATYTTGTCTTTAAATTGCTCGGTCAAAAACGCAATCTCCTGCTGATATTGATTATGGATGTCCTGAGCTTTCACATCGAAATCTTCTTTCATTTGGCTGATTTCTTTCTGYTTTTCGTCAATCGCATTTTTATTCTCATTCATTTCGCGTTTCATTTTCTCTTTMTCCGTACGTTCCTCCTTCAGCTTTTTCTTCAGCTGCTGAATGAATTTATCCTTGTCAGCGACGGTTTTCTTGACGTCTTCTGTGGATGTGCTTTGCTGTAGACGTACATCAAGTTCGACTTTTTCCGTCTGTATTCTCTCCAAGTCCAGCCYAAGATTTTGGGCATTATGTAAAGCTTGCTGCATTTTTAAGTACATCTCTTCTTTATCTTGCAAGGCAACCTGGCACTCACTTTTTACACTGGTGAGTTCTTCACACTTCGAAGAAAAGTTTTCCTCGAGGTCTTTCTTTATAACTTCAATTTCTCTAAGTTGTACAACTTCAGCATTCAATCGCTTGACTTCATCATTCAGATCATTTCTCAAGCTTCTTTCTTCTTCCATTTGACGTTTCAATTCATTGAGATTTGCCTCATTGTCTTTCTTCATGTTTTCAATCTTAGATTTAAAGTCCGTATTTGTCTTCTTATTTAAWTCAATTTTCTCGCGAATTTTGTCCTTAAGTTTCGCGATGACCTCATCTTTGTGGGATTTGAGTTCTTGAAGTTTCTGGCTAAACTCGTCTTCGACATTTTTCCTTTCTTGGTCTTTTTCCTCTGTAACTTCGCTAATCCTTCTATTCAGTGTTTCCTCTAGTTCTTCATTGAACTGCCCGACAAGTTGCGTCTTCACATTTTCAATCTCAAGGTCCTTCTTGTCTAGTTCCTGTTGTAAGGACACTTGGATATTCGCATTAACTGCCTCATATTCATGTTTCAGAGAATCTAGTTCGTTCTGAAGTTCTTCTTTCTCCTGAATGGATTTCTTTAATTCACATCTCAGTTYTTCAAGCTTTCCTTCCGTTTCTTCGTCCATTTCGTTGAGTTTCATTTCAAGGTTATTCTTGAGAGTAAGTTCTTGTTCATAAAGAACTTTGAATGCATTCTCACTGTTAGCTTTGTCTTKGTCGAGGTTTTGAACCTTGCTGCGGTAACTTTGGAGTTCGCTTTCTAAGTCGCTTCGCAATTGGATTTCCCTGTCTAACGCTTCTTTGAAATGCTTCTCGATCTCATCCTTTTCTTTCTTTAGTGCCTCGKTGTTTTCTCTGGCAGTATCTAAATCTTGTTGAAATTCAGATGAGCGCTCATGTTCTCTTTGAACGGCGAGAGAGAGAAATTTTTGATGTTCTTCGTTTTGACGTTTCAGCTCCTCTGTTTCCGCCAAAGAGCTTTGTAGTTTTGATTCGAGATCTATTTTGATTTCTTCGAGATGTTCTTTTTCCTCTTGTAAGTGTTTCAACTGAGAGTTTAGTTCGTTTATCTCTACTGCTGAACTTTCAAGAATTTCGGTCACCTTTATACTAGACTCTTTTTCAAACTCTTCGATTCTTGCTAAAGCTGATTCAAGTTGGGACTGAAGGTCATCATTTTTCTCCAAGCTCTTTTTCAATTCTTCAGTAACTCCTTCGTAAGTAGATTGCAAGGCTTCGTCTCTAATTGTCAATGACAAAAGCTCTTCAGATAGGCCAACTTTCTCGGAATTGAGTTTTTCAATTTCATTTCGTAAACTTTCAACTTCCGTTTTTGCATTATTTTTTTCTATATCAGAGTACTCAAGAGAGCTAATGAGCTTTGTCCGTTCAATAGAGACTTCCTCATAAGCTTCTTGATAATCCTGAAGCTCTTGTGCTTGCTTTCGGAAACTTTCCTTGATGCTTTCAAGTTGCGTAGAATCAAGCTCCTTATTTTGTAGCTCTTCCTTTAAACGCTCGRCGATTTTGCGGCTACTATCATTTTCTTCCTTTAAATTAGCAAATTCCTGACGAAGRGCATTACAGGTTTCAATAAGTATGTYCTTCTCCTCAGTTACAGCTTTCAAGTCTATCTCGTGAGATTCCATCTTGACAATACTCTCATTCAATTCTTTCTTTAGTGTTTCAACCAATTCGTTCAAATCTTGGATTTCTTTATTGTTAGTTTCGTGAGCTTTCTTGAGATTCTGTGCTCTCTTCTTCCATGTTTTAACCTCTGCTGCAAGTTTGCTTTGATGTTCTTCAAGTTCTGCTTTTACTTCATCTGTCTTACAAGTTGCCTCTTGGAGGCTTGTCTCAAGAATTSCCATATTAGAGCTTCTCTCCTGGAGAATAGTTTGAAGGTCACTTATTTCTTTTTCCTTTTCTTCGAGGAGTTCTTGGTACTTCACAGCGTTCTCATCAAGCTGCGTCTCCAAATCTTCCACTCTCGTCGTTGCTTTATTTAGTTCTTCTCTTAAAGTGGAGATTTCTTCTGTCTGTACTTCAAAACTTTCCTGCATAAGTAGAATCTCATCTTCCTTACTTTTCAAAACTTCCTGSGTAYTTTCTTTACGGTTTTCAATAYAACTTTCAAGCTGCTCGATCTTTTCTTTTGAAGATGCAAGTTGTTCTTTCATTCCTTTGAATTTCTTGAATTCAGTTTTAAATTTCTTTAATTTTTCCASAGAAGCGCTTAGCTCGTCCTCTAGTTCCCCAATACGTCCGTCCTTCTCCAGAAACAACTTACTAGTGCTATCATTCAGTGCAGAAATTTCTGATTCCTTTTCATTAATAGTACTTTSGACTTCTCCAAATCTAACAGATAACGACTCTAAAGTTGCTATTCTAGACGAAAGTTCCTCTTTCAAATCAGCATTTTCGTTTGTAAGCTGAATATATTCAAGTTCTCGAGATTCGTCTTTCGATTGCTTCGCTTGAAGTTCAACAATGATATTTTCTAGCTCTCTAGTCTTTCCTAGTAAGTCCTCTTCACCGCGGCCCTTTTCTGCTAACAAGCTATTCAGTTCTGATATTTTTAAGACAGAATTTTCGAGCTCCTTCGATAACTCTTTCACTTCGCCTTCCTTTCCGTTATTGAYAATTTGAAGGTCTGAAATTTGTGCGGTTTTGCGTGACAATTCCTCCTGATATTGCGCGTCTGCTACTTGAAGTTGTTGATTTAGCGAATTCATTTCTTGAGCCATAGCTTCTCCMTGATCTTTCTTTTCCTGTATAGCTCTTTCTAGCTGAGCCACTTTTTCATTTGCATCCTGCAATTCCGCAGAAATTTCAATGAGCTGATTTTGCAGCGATGATTTTTCTTGTTCGGCTTGCAAGCTTAGTTGTACTTTCTGGGAAGTTTCGTGGATTAGAGATTCTTCTGCCAGTGAAAAGCTTGCCTCCTTTGCGACCAAAGTTTCTTCAATTAAAGACTTTTCGTTTTGGCTTTCCTTTAACTCTTTCTTAGTAATTTCCAACTCTTGCCTCATCTCTWGAAGCTCTGTCTCTAAAACATTTACAGTCTCTTCTTTCTTTTTCAATGCTTTTGAAATCTTCTTTCCCTTCTCAGAAAGCTCCTTGATTCTATTGTTTCGCTTCTCTATATCATCTTTCGATTTCTCAATAGTTTCTTCGATAACTTTTTCCATTTCTGAAAGTCTATCATCTTTTTCRCTTTGTACTACATTGCTCTCTTCTATTTTTCCCCGAAGAGCTTCAATCTCTGCATTTCTKGCTTCAAGGTCCGCTTCTTTACTTTCAATGTTTAGAGAAAAAGACTTTTCTAAATCAATTATCTCAATRTTTTTGTTTTCCAAAGCGTCAAGRTATTCATTTTCCTTTGCTTTTAGTTCGAAAATTTCTTTTCTTCTTTCCCCGATTTCTTCTTTGTATTCCTGAACTTTTTCTTCGAGACTCTGTTCCATAACTCTAAGTTTAGACTCTTTTTCCTCAGMCATAAGAGAAAGCTCATTCCTAATATTTTCTTTCACAGAAAGAAGCTCTTGAATTTCTTCATCTTTATTTGAAATGATTAATTGGCTATGTTCAAGCTCGCTATCTTTCGCAGAACACGTCTCGGTCAGTCTAGCGATTTCACTTTCAACCTCCGATAACTGTTCAAGCAAAGATTTAGTCTTTTTTTCGTGGTTAKCTTTCTCTGTGGTCAGTGATTGATTGAGTTCAGCAATAATGATATCAKTGTCTTCGAGCTTTYGTACAAGATCTTTGTTCTCAGCAATAGAATCTTCTAGTCTCTTCTGCAGAGCGAGGACCAAATCTTCTTTCGACAGCGTTGTGTCTGACAACGACTGCTTTAGGGCCTCGATTTCTTCTTTCAATTCTTCCTTGTCTTTCATTGAACAGTTTAATGTATTTAAAAGTTCTTCATTCGATGAATCTAAATCTGCAATTCTTTTCAGCAAATTTTCGTTTWCTTCTTTGRAARTGGTCAATGTTGAACGTAGAGATGCCATCTCCCTGGAGTGTTCTTGATACTCTGATTCTRATTTGYGGATTTTAGTTTTTAAGTTTTCATTTTCAAWCTTAACGYCCTCGTGTGATTGTTTTAATTCATCTAATGWTGATTTACAATTGTCAAGTTCTCTTGATATTTCTTCTTTTCTGGCTTCCACTTCACAAACCTCTCTTCTTAGATCTTCATTTACCTGCATGAAATTGTCATTTGATTCCTTGATYTCGACCAGCTCGTTTGTCATTGCTTCTCGTCCAGACTCCATCTCTTGGATCGAATTTCTCAGACCCYCATTAATCTGYTGTAAGTYTTCATTTTGTTCTTTCAAGTTKGTTACTAAAGAAGTTGCACTTGTCAGTTCACCCRCCATGACTTCGTTACCAGTGTTCAWTTCASACAATTTGTTCTGCAATKCTTCATTGACTCTCAATAAATTTTCATTTTGGTCTTTCAAGCTTGCAACTGCTGACGTTGAAGTGRCTATTTCGTCAGACATCCCCTCGGCTCCGGCTTCCAGATCTCGGATCTTGCTGGTTAATTCTTCATTGATTCGCCCCAGATCATCGAGTTCCCTCTTAACGTCAAGAAGGTTATGAACGAGTTCCTCTTTAGCGGCCGTCAACTCCGACACACGTTGATCAAGATCTTTTTTCTCTTGAAGTAAAGTTTGGTGAGACGTTTCCTTTTCTTTGACACTTGCTTGAAGATGAACAGCCTCTTCCACTTTTTCTTTTTCAATCTTTTCAAGTCTTTCTTTAAGAGCATTGATCTCAGCATCGCGTTCTTTGATAGCATTAGATGATGCTTTGCCTAACTGTTCGATACGYGTATCCATAGAGTCTGCACGAGATCTTTGTTTTTCGGCAATCGACTGCGATCGTTCCAGTTGTGCTGTTTGTTCTTCTAATTTGTTTTTCAATGATGAAATTGTTGCATCTTTCAGGTTAAGCTGGTGCTGGAATATAAGAAAACTATTTCATACGCAAATCATTTCGAAATAGATGCGAATATGACTATATAATTACATAAAGTGGCGATCACTTCATTGATGTTGAGGCTCATCATCATTTGATTACTTGGTAAATTTTTGCTACRAGCTTCTTTCTAGTTGCATTACCTGTACTTCAGAAAATTCCGTCTCCTTAGATGCCACTTTATCACTATACGATAAAAGCTCATCTTCTTTTTTCTCCAGGTTCTTCTGTAATTCAGCGATTGTTATTTCCTTAGACTCCAGTTCGGTTGTAACTTGCTTCATAAGTTCTTCTTTTTCTTGCATTGTYGTCCTAAGACAGAATAATTACACAATGAGAACACCATTCCATAAAATGAAACAACCGTTAAACCAACAACCGACACGGTAAGCATATCAAACATATAAACAAGCCCATCAAAATACACAATCAAAAATGATCGTCTTACTGAAAGAAAAATAATAAAAAACATTAACGAGACGACGTTGGACTGTTATACAACAACAGAATATTATCRATATTATTAAACCAACCTAAAGAGCTGTAGGTTTTGCTGTAGTTGTGCTATTTTATTCTCTAAGTAYTCAGTATGTCGCTGTCTTTCCTCTAACTGYTCATCYAACTTCTTCATTCTTTCATTGTTTTCCTCGTCTTTGGCGTCAATAAGAGTCTGGAGTTCAGAGAGCATGGACTAAGAAGAGAAGGACGAAYGGCATGGATGATGAACGTACGCAACACACTCTCAATTAAACGCGTATAGCGTATATTATTGATTTAGAATTAAATTTGTCTATTTTTTATCAAAGGCTAGGATAGTTAAATTAATATCAATCTTAAGTTATCATATTTYTTATAAATAAATAACCAAGAAAGAGGATAAAGATTTGTTATTTATAGGAAAAAGCTAAGTTCTGAAGAAAGTTGTTTTTAAACTTTAAAATCAAAATTTAATAATCATTATCTCTAATTTAAATATCAAAATATCCTTTCTGCTCATGTTTAGATTGAACATTATTTAGATCTTATTAGATAATTTAGATTTTTACACCGAGATCCTTTAAGAAATCAAACCTCCTTCAGGTTCTAGACAGCACAAGCTAATAGAAGTAAAAATGATAACTATGATTTTATGAGCTGTTTATGAATTAATTTAGGAAAAGGATTTTTTTTCTAAAAACTCTCAAAAGGAACACGTAGGACAAACATGCTATTAGGTATGACAKACATAAGCGTTAAGATGACTGGATGTGCAACTAGATAGATTGCTCTAAATCCCCGTGTTCTTATATGGATTTGCTGTACATTTTGAAAAAGCTGCCAAAGTGAATTCTTAAGTCCCGTTTACACTTGCGATTTCTGCAGGGCGATTGTCACGGCGATCGTTACGCAACCATCGTCTTAGTTTCGGACAAGCTTGAAATTTAGCTGCAACTTCACGGCGACTTTCGATCGCTGAAACAATCGCAAGGGCTGTTTACACGTACGATTTGAGTTTCGCGATAGCAAGGTGGCGATTGTCCCGCTACAATCGCACTGCAAAAATCGCAAGTGTAMACGGASCTTAACCGATCAAGAGATACATAGGCTCATCTTTCAGTCGTTGGATCTCACGCRYCCGCGATACTTTCCCGCAGGCATGCACGTATGAAATCCCGAAGACTGAAAGATGAGTCTTCCAGTGAGGGACTGTGAACAAATCTACGCAGAACTGGTCTACGATTACAAAGCATGATGGTCAATAATAAGATGAATGTAAAAAACATYCTTTACCTCATTGGTAGAGATGATATATTCAATTTTCTTCTGTAATTGTTCTCTTTCTTCAGACATTTTATTGCATTGTTCTTGTACAGTATCCAACTGCCCTCTCAAAGTATCACATTCCTTCAACTGTTCAACAAGCTTTGCGTCATAGACATCCTTTGAAACAGATTCCTCTTTGACAGTATTGAATTCTTCCATGATTCTAAAATGATTTGAAGAGAATTAATGGTAAAAACTCAGTTGAGTCTTGTTTTACTGTCAACCATCACAATGTCGGGTGCAGCCACCCCACGCTTAGATCACTGCAAGATTTATTGCGACTATGCTTATTAAATGGGGGTATCTGCCACCCCACGCTCAGATCACTGCAAGATTTATTGCTACTATGCTTATTATATGGGGGTATCTGGAGTGCACACCATCAAAAACTGAACTCCAAGAAAAGGAAATTAAGTTTACCGCTGATTGCATAATCAGCAATCATTTATGTAGTTCTTCATTTTTTGTTGCACACGAACGTTGAACTTTCTAGATTTCTAATTAATTGCTTGGTGGCTACACGTGTATCCACAAAACTTACAATGACTTTGCATTCTCAAGCTCCTCAATTTTTCTCTTCAATTCCTGATTCTCTTGATTAGTTTTCTCATTTTCTTGATTCAAGTTATTCACTATCTGTTGCAGTTCTTCTGTTTTTTCGATCTTTTCCTGATGTAGACTCTCGGTGTCTTTCAGGGCTTTCTCGATTTCAGCTTTGGCTTGCATTGCAGCCTGTAGCCTGGACCTAGAAAGGTTTAGGAAAGTCAATATCTAATTATGATGGTGAATATGATGTATTACATGGACAGATTCAGTAAAAATTTTCATTCTTGCTCCAAATCTGACCAGTAAATCTGTAAACGYGCTGTGACATCATAATGCAACAAGGMAAATATAAAATAWGCTACCATGGGTTTGGGCTTAAAGTCTCATTTTCACGTCTTACTTCTGTTGTTCATTCTCTTCGTGTAGTTCTTCGATGGTAGAATTGAGTGTTTCTTCAAGTGCCTGTCTTGCGTGCTCTGCGTCCTCGTCTGARCTGATCTCTTCATTTTTCTTGATCTGTTTTTCGCGCTCGGCTTCTAACATTTCTTCGAGCTCCTCAATTCTGGCCTGGAAACTTTTTCKCTCCTGGCAKTTTTAAAATAAATAAAATTACATTACAGCAATCASTTATATATTTTCTCCACACTTCTTTAATCATGCATTCAGTCAWTCAGTCAGTCAGTTTGTGGATCAATCCAGTCCACTTACTACAGTAAGCCAAATCATTTACCTTGACTAGAATATCAATCCTTCTCTCAAGACCGTATTTTTCGTCTTCTTGAAGCTTGATGATATCGGTGAAAGTTGACCCTTCCATGGATGCACCAACAATTGTCCCTACACTCGCACCCATCTCCTCTTGACCTTCTACGAGACAATGGTGACGTCAATGCTTACAATCAGTCACATAGACATTTTCAYTGTTTGATTTATGACAACTTTCCTTGAAAATTTAAAAAATTATTTATTCACAGCAGTACAATAGTTTCAACATTGTTCGTCAAGTATGTGTTCACCCAATGAAATGACTGCTCGCCAACATAGCTGACCGGCATCGCAGAAATCAAGGGTTGGATTCCCGTTGAAGCTCGAAATCATTTAATTTAATCGCATCGCATTGTTCGTATTTTAATGCGACCATGAACATAATTCATCTACAAAATTATTTATCGCAGTTCGGAACATAGTTTCAACATTCACGATAAAACAAGCACCAATATTACATACATAACTTACCATCGTCTTGTGGTCCTTCCTCCACAGTACCAGGCCCTTTCTCCTTGTCCGTCGTCCAGTAGAATTCGTCCAAGGCTTGTTGCAGCTCTTTTCGCTTTTCCTCCAACGTCTCCTTCTCTTCATCGACTTGCGCCATTTTAATCTGCAAAGAGACTTTCTCCTCTCTCTCACGTAAAAGATAACCTTCAACTTCAGCTAAGTTTGCTTTAAGATTTTCATTATTATCCACAAGTTCTTTGTAAGTTTGATCAAAAAACGCTCGTTCTTTATCGAACGTTGCTTCCTTAGCTTTAATTTCATTGATTGTTTTCGTAAGTTCTTCATTAGCAGTCGTTTGCTCTTTAATATTTTCCTCTGCTTCATTTAACGACTTCTTGACTTCAGCCAGCTCGCACAACAGTTTCTCTATCTCCTTCTTTTGAGCTTCTGTGAACTGTTTTTCATCTTTGGAGAATTTGTCTTCATATTCAACATTTTGAAGCTGAATATGACCTTTCTCTTCTTCCGCGTCCACAACTTTAAGGGTAAGTGTTTTGTTTTCTTCTTCAAGGAGACTGCATCGTTCTTCGAGTTCYTTAAGACGTTTTTCTCGCGTTTCCAAGGATACCTTCATTTCTTCGCTTTCAAMAAGACGCAGTTGTAGGTTACCTTTCTCTTCTTCAAGGTCAGCAATTTGTTCACGGAGTTTGCTGCTTTCAGCGGCTGCAGGTTTTTTCTTTGATAAAAAAAGAAATTTSTGAGAAAATATACTGTATAGCTAAGCCAACACTTTGACAACACTTCACTTCTAGTCTCCTCTCGCATCCGTTATTTTGCTTGCTCGCATATTTCTCCAACTTATGGGAACGAGCCAAATAACGGAATTGACAGGAAACTACGTCATTTCTAACGCTGTCAGAAATAACGATTGTTTTTACATGAAAACGCATTGTATAAGTATGAACCCAGTGTGTGTCTTGACTTTCCAAAGATCGCCGATGAACGGACAAAAACAGATTTGAATGGTCATCGTCCATATGAACGGACATTATTTCCAACCCTGACAACACATGTGGAGCATCGGAATAATAACCACAACAGCAACAGCAACAACAATAACAATAACAACAACAGCAGCAGCAGCAACAACAACAACAACAGGACACTACCATAGTAAAGTACCACTATTAGATATGCATCGTTGTATAAAATGATACGGACATCGCCATTAACTGCACATTCTATGCAGTTATTTAACACAAATTTAGAAGAGGAACTAGGTGCTAAGAAGGCGCTAAATTGTACGATATACCGGTGTATGYGTTCAATACAGCCTACAAACCTTTCTTATAGTTTCCAGTTCTTTAGTCAGTTTGTTGTTTTGCTTTTCCAAATTGTTAATTTTTGATTTCATTTGYCCCTTCGCCTTCAACATCTTCGCTGTGGCGTCCTTCGCTTCTTTGTTTCTCATCTCTACATCACGTTGTGCTGTCTCTAAATCCTTTGCGAGTTGGTTTCTTTCTGCTGTAAGTTGATTCAGCTCTTCTTGCAGTTCTTTAGCCGGGCGTTCGATCGCTTTCTTCAGTTCATTGCGCTCTTCAGACACACGTTCAAGTTCATTTTGCAAGTCTTTCAAATGTTCTTGGAAAGCACGTTTTTCGTCCAGAAACTGTCTCTCTTTCTCTGTGTCCAGTAATAGAAGACGYTCATTCGAAGACTCCATACTTTTGTTATCCTTACTTTCAATTTCTTCTCTAAGTTTTGAAACAGCTTCTTGACTTGCTTGTAAAGAGCTATCTTTCTCCTTGATTATTTTCTCTTTCTCGCTTATGTCAGCTTCATGTTCTTTCAGTTCTTTCTGCAAACTTGCGACTTTGTCAACAAGTTCGTTTTCTCGTATTGTCCAGTCATCTTTCAAACCATCGGTTTCTTCTCTCATTTGGTTGACAGAGCTAGAGAGCTGRTGGACTTGATCATTCCGTGATTGCAATTCTCCTTGTAGAGTTGCAATAATTTGCTCTTTTTCTTTGATTCTGTCTTCTAATAGGTTTACTAGTTTCTCTGAATCAGGACTTAGTGTTTTGGTTGGGGTGTCACCGCTGAAGTTTCTCTCTTGTAAAGCCATCTTTAGTACGCCAACTGCTTCATCTTTGGCCTGGAAAATAAATAAATTAGAGTGGTTGCCATTAACCCSTGAAACAAAGAGTAATAGTCAAATTGTAATAAAATGTGATACACCGTGAAGGCAAAGAAAAACGTGCAAAATGAGGAGTACATGTATTGAAGCATAGCGCGCTTGTCTGCAATTTACGGGTTAATAAAAAAACTTTATCAAAGTACTTCGTAGCTACTTTGTCACAGCTAAATTGCTCTAATCAATGTTGCTGTAGGGTCGTAGTTGTCATTCTGTCGTTCTCAGTCTCGTTTTATCAAAGTCACTGTCAAAATTCAAGTGTTTTCATTGTTTATCTATTATTATAATAATTTATTTTTATTGCTCCTTTTGTTGTTTTTTTTGAATATTTCTGATATAGCCATTGTCAGGTGATGATATTACTGTTGTCAGGTGTTCCTGTTGTTGCCATCTCATTGTTCAGTGTGTTTTCTCTTATTGCGTTACTGTTGCCGTTGTTGTTGTTATGTTTTTCTTTGTATTGCTATTGTCATTACATGTATCATTGCTATACAACAATAATTTATACCGTACGTTTTATGTTTAGCTTTTCTTATCTTTGCTACTGAATTTATGATACTTTATGATTGCTATTCCAKTTAGAAATTGCCATTGCTAGAGCTGTTTTTATTGTAGTTTTGACATACTATTGCTGCTGCTATTGCCATTGTTGTACCTGTATAATGCTGGTCTTTTCATCAAGCTGTTCCTTCAGCATGTGCTCAGACTCTTTGTAAGACTTCTCGATCTCAGCCAATTCTGCAGCCAGCTTCTTTTCCTTCCACTGAATTTGATCTTGCAGCATTCGAATCGTTTGTTGGTGGTCAACTTCTTGCTGTTGCAACTGCTGCTCGAGTACTTGATTGTCATGCTTCGTCTAAAAAAAAAAATACAGAAACATACTTTACTATACATGCTCGCAAACACCAAACGTCAAAACTAATCACGTGATCACTATTTTTCTGCTCCATTCTTTTGCGTTTGTTTTGTCGCTCGTTTTCTCGTGCATGAGCTCATTCCTATTCATTTCAAAGAGCTTTTACTTTTGTTCGAGTTTTTTCAGAACAAAGCTTGAAGGCAATTGATATTTGTCGCTATTCGTAAACGCGACTGAATCTAAATCTGTGAAAGTTAAAGTGCTTAGAAGGAGGTTATTCCTGCTCCAAGTCTGACCTTGCACTATAACTTTTCTTTATTTCTATTAATCATGAATCTCATAGTGCCATGTGGTCCTCATATTCATATCCTCGATCTAAATTTCCTCAAAACTGCAACTCACACGGCACAAATTAGCCAAATACAGTGAAATTTTCATTATGGG